CCACCACACAGCCCCGACCTCCTGACCCACCACACAACCCTGACCTCCTTACCCAATTTCTCCTACTTCTGTATCCCTACCAACTCCGGTGGACTCTGTGCTCTCTCAACCCTCAGCCACATATCTCACCATGGCAAGGACCCATGAGGCCACAGAGGACTGCCCTTGTCTCACGCTGAGCATCTCTAAAGGTGTCCACTCTTTCATGTTCCTCCCTACACTGCCCATCCTTCCTTTGAGCCAGCCCATCATCAGCGTCCTCAGAGAACCTTGCAGGTGTAGCCTGCATCCTGCTCAAACACTCTTCCCTGAGAACCACCTCACATCCAGTCCTCTTCCTACAGTAGGCCATGTCAGCTCTGGGAGCAGGGAGACAGGCAATGACACCCCTACCTCGGCTCCAGTGGAAGGAGCCCACACACTGCCCAGTCACTTCAGCCGCTGGTTTTGCCAGCAAGGATCCCTTGTTGCCAGTTAGCCTAGAGGATGCCGTTTACTGCATCTGGGATTTGGGGCACAGAGAAGATTGCAGACGTTCCATCACTAGAGTTCAGGGTTGAGTTCTGCTGAGGATCCGAGGAGAGTCCTAGTCTAGCATGAGAGCTGGATGCCTGAACTTGAAGCACCAGCACCTCAGATATGAACAGATAGGTACACAGGTGATAAACAGATGAAGTGTGGATGCAGAATGAAAATAACCTCTGAGCTCTACCATAGGGAGCCCATGGCGTGAAGATCATGGACTCGTGGGGGAGCCCCTGTCTTTTCCTGTCTTAGCCTAGCTTCTCAGAGCACAAAAGCATCATGGGGAACAAGGAAGCTTTCACAATTCTCTGAGCCCAGTGTCCCAGCATAGTGAGAGGTTATACACGTGGTGATTTGGTTTCATTAGAAAAAGCGTGAACATACAATCAGCCTATCTCAAAAAACAAAAAAAAATTTTGTGCATGTTGATACAGGAAGACATGTGCCGTCTTGGATGGCATCTATGCGTACTTTTACACATATGGACATGGACATGCAGACGGGAGCCCATACATGAACACACATACAACACATACCTAAAATGATAACATATAGACAAATTAAATATGAAATTCAGAGGGAGAGTGCTGTGATGGTGTTTTCCGCTACAGTGACATTGATGGTTGTTCCTATATTGGGACAACCTTCTGAGTCAAGGAGATTGCTACCACCAGGACTAAGGCCATCAGGGAAGCCCTGACATCTGGACCTACAGATGCTTGCCTACCTATCCTGGCCACATTATGAATAGTGGTCAAATATAGGCACGGAAAAAGCAGAACTTCGTCCTTCTCAGGTCTGGAGGCTGGAGTCCTGGTCCAGCTACACCTGTGTGGCTTCATCCCAAGGACTCTCTCATGGGGAGCAGAGGGTTTCCTCTAACTTTGTTGAGCGGCATGTCACCCTCTAGCAGTCTTCTGATCCCTGCTGTTTCCAGCTCTTCTTAGGGCGAGCAGTCTTAGATGGGGACACATCCAGCACCTCACTACATCTCAGTGTCCCCATTCAAGGTCCCAAATAAGAAGTACCTCTCACTGAGGAGTCACTCAGATGATCAATTTCAGGGCGTGTTCAACCCACAAAACAGCCAAAACCCACCATGACACTTTGTCCTGCTTTGAATCCTGCCCTCCCCAGTGGTATCTGCACGGCTCTCAGGCAAAGACCACGAATGTAACTATGGCAGGCAGCCATCCTGTGAGGATACCTTGACCTCATGTACCTCAACCTGAGAATTTCTAAAAATGACCATGCATTCAGCTTTTCAGAGATTAATAGTGAATAAGTACTCAATGCACAAATAAAGACATGAATGGATAAGTCAAGTGTGGATGAATCCTTAGTAGCTTTTGCAAAGAGCGCCCAGCTGTGAGGTACATAGATTCATGAAAGAAGCTTCTCTTACTTGTCCTGTCTGTCGCTTTTGGCTCCTAATGACTGAGTGTGTGGAGGAATGATCCTACCATACTCAAATATGCAAGCTCGTTGTCCCCATGCACCTTCAGGTGATGCAGTCCGGGATGCTCTTCTTAACCCTGCACTGGCCTGGGGCTCTCTGTCAAGTCCATGGTTCACCTATGGCTGGAGCTGCATTCTCTCTGTCACCAGTATTCTGCTTTGTCTCTCATGAAGGCACGGTGGAGCCGAGACATGGCTGACCTTTAGAAGGGGGATTGCTGTGCCACCTTTCATGTCAATGTGGACCCAACTGACGTGGTGTTCCAAGGTAACACTCGGTGGTGCCCTGCAGCCTGTGTCCTGATGTCAGTCTTCACCAAAGAAATTTTCAAGGTCAATTGTGTCAAGCTTTTGGAGCAGATGGGTCATCATGTAATGTACCATGTATTGCTCAGGATCAGGTCTGTACTCATACTGGTTGAGGGTATAGGTCCAACTGACTTGGATACTGAGCATGCTACGAGGTCATCAAATGAGCCCTGGTATGGACCTGGCTTCACTGAGGCAAGGACGTTATATACACTGGAATGATAACAGGTTATAGCACACAACGTCTTGAATTCGAGAACGGCCCTAGCTGCTTTGTGAGAAGGTTGAGGACAAGCTACCATTTAGGCTCTGGTGTGTTCTTGGTTCCCTTGAGGTAAGGATATAGTCTCAGCTCAGACTGGGTAGGATGTACACACTCTGAAAGTTAAGGTGGGCCCAGGCTATTGGTGGTTCATTACTCACCTCTTAACCATGAATGCCAGGATATGACATGTACCCTGATATCAGTCTCAGACAACCAGTCATTTTTGACAAAATTGATGCTACCTTCTTGGAGTACAGCATCTAGAGTGGATCACAGTTAAGGACAATTTGTGGTCTTCATCTCCTGAAGTCAAGGTCAGATCTGGTCACAGATGATTTCAAGGTGCAGCTTGAGATATCAGCCAGGACAGCATTAAGGCCATAGTGTGTTCCTGATTCCCTCGATGTGGTTGGATTAGATAAGACAGGGTTCAGTACACACACACACACACACACACACACACACACACACACACACTTGGACCTGAGATGTTCGTAGAATCCTTGTTGATCAAGGAACAGCCCAGCCAGTGTTGATATCAGGATGTGGCCTTTGCTCTGATGTCTGTCCTTGGCACAGGAAACCATGTTGTGAGTAGAGATTGTTCGGCTACAAGGTTTGCCTGGCTCCCAGGTGAGACCCACACGTTGTCCAGGATTTGCTCAAGACAGACCGGGCCTGAAGACAGCAGAGTCCATGCGTGGTTATCAACCCCTGAAGGTTAGGCTGTACCTA